GTAGGTTTGAAACCTGAATATGAGGGTATTTGTTCTTAGATTTTGGGTGGCTCTACTCTTCCCTCACTACTTGAGGTTTTCTCTTGTATACAACATGCTACTTTGTCTACTTCATGTATCAATCATGGTGTTTCCACTGATTGCTCAGCTCTTGTGGTTCCTATAAGTCATAGTGATGGTCATCGCGGTGGTCGTGGTGGTAGAGGAGTTTGAGGAGGTTGTACGGGAGGTCGTACGGGTGGTCGTGGGGGCCATAATGGACCACGTTCCTGTACCCACTGTGGTCGTGGAGGGCATACTATTGATTTTCTGTTGGGATTTTTATGGAAAACCTACTGGTATTGTGAATCAGGTTTCTTATCAGGATGACACCTCTGTTACGGCTTCTATACCTCGGTCAGCTCCACCAAATACTAGGTCGGTTACTATTACACAAGAAGAGTATGCTCAGTTCCTGTCCCAGCAACAGGCTATTCCATCTCCCTCCACTGTTACTTTTGCCCAGTCAGGTACTACTTCCACCAGTTTATTGTCTTCCACTCACAGTCCTTAGATCATAGACTCTGGCACCTTTGACCACATGACTAGCGCATCTGATATTTTTTTTACATATCAATCTGCTACTTCCACACGTAGTGTTACTATTGCTAATGGTACTTGTTTTAATGTTTCAGGTCTGGGGACTACTTACTTGAGTCCTGATATGTCCTTATCTTCTGTGTTATTTGTTATTCAGTTTCCTTTTAGTTTATTTTTCATTAGCAAGATTACATGTTCTCTCAATTGTTCTGTAATTTTTTATCCCTTTTATTGTCTCTTTTAGGATCTCAAGATAAAGAGGAAGATTGGTACGGGGCATGAAGCTGGTGACCTATATTACGTTGACTTTGATTCACCTACCCGAGCTCTACAGACCTCGTTGTCTCCTTTTCAATGGCATTGTCGTCTTGGACATCCCTCTCTCCAGAATCTGAAACGCCAAGTTCCTAGTCTTACTTATGTGTCGTCTTTGTCTTGTGAAACTTGTCAACTTAGTATCACCATGTGTCATTTCAGTCTAGAGTCAATAATCGTGTGTCTAGTCTGTTTGAATTAGTCCATTCTGATGTATGGGGTCCAACAAAGAATATTTCATCTAATAAATATCCTTATTTTGTGACATTTGTGGATGACTATTCTCGTGTGACTTAGTTATTTTTTATGAAAGCTCGGTCTGAATTATTCTCTATATTTGAGACTTTTCATAAGAAAATAAAAACTTAGTTTGGTTGTTGTATACGTACTTTACATTCTAGTAATTCTTGGGAATATGAATCTGATCATTTTTCAGCTTATCTTAGTAAAGTTGGCATTATTCATCAGACTTCTTGTGCTTATACCTAACCACAAAATGGTGTTGTTGAACGCAAGAACCGTCATTTGTTGGAAGTCACCCGTGCTCTGTTATTTTAGATGAATATTCCTCGATATTATTGGAGTGATGCTATTTTTATTGCTTGTCATCTTATTAATCATATGCCATCCTCTATGTTAAATGGGTAAAGTCCATATTCTGTCATTTTTCCTAATAAGCCCTTATTTTTCTTGACTCCTATGGTGTTTGATTGTGTCTGTTATGTTCATAATTTGGGTCATGAGTTTGACAAACTTGACCCTCGAGCTACCAAATATGTATTTCTTGGTTACCCCGACACGCAAAAGGTGTATCGTTGCTACAGTCCTTCTCTGCACCGATACTTTACTAGTGTCGATGTCACGTTTGAAGAATCTGTTCCATACTTTCTAGCACCTTCTCAGCCTTTGGATTTGAACTTTGGATCCCCTCCTGTACCACCATCTCTTTCCTCATCTTCAGATATTCTGCTGCCCATTGTGTTACCATCTACTTTACCTCTTCGTGTCTACTCTCGCCGTCCTCGCCCATCGACTGAGGTGCTCGTACCATCTTCCTTGTCGCCTTCTGATCTTGGTACATTAGGTAATTTAAACTCTTTACCTATTGCTCTTTGCAAAGGTACTCGTTTGTTTGTTACTAATTATCCCATTTCTCATTTTGTTTCATATGATGTCTTATCTCCTGTCTTCTCCTGTTTTACTTCCCAATTATCTGTTATATCTATTCCTAAGCATTTACAGGATGCATTATCTGATCCGGGTTGGAGGAAAGCTATGGAGGAGGAGATAGATGCTTTACATCATAATAGGACTTGAGATCTCATTCCTTTATCCTATGGTAAATGAACTGTTGGTTGTCGTTGGGTGTATACTGTTAAATTTTATCCAAATGATTTTGTGGAACATCTCAAAGCCCGGTTTGTTGCAAAGGGCTTTACTCAGACTTATAGTGTTGATTATGAGGAGACTTTTTCTCCTGTTGCCAAAATTTTCTTTGTTCATATCTTGATTTTTTTAGCTGCTAATCTTGATTGACCCTTGTTTTAGTTAGATGTCAAGAATGCCTTCTTATATGGTGACTTGGTTGAAGAGGTATACATGGAGTAGGCACTTGGGTTTACTACTCAAGGGGAGTATGGTAAGAGTGTTTGTCGGTTAAAAAAATCTTTGTATGGTTTGAAGCAATCATCGAGGGCATGGTTTGGTAAGTTTTCAGATGCAGTTTTAGAGTTTGGTCTTCTTCGATGTCAGACAGATCATTCTGTGTTTCATAGAAAGACAAATGTTGGATATATCCTATTGGTGGTCTATGTAGATGATGTTGTGATTATTGGAAATGATTATGAGGGGATTGCCAAGTTAAAAATATTCTTACAGGATCGATTTACTAAGGATTTGAGAAAACTCAGGTATTTCTTGGATATTGAGGTGGCTCGATCTAAACAGGATATTTGTTTATCACAGAGGAAATATGTACTTAACATGCTTGAGGAAGCAAGTTTGCTGGGTGGTAGACCGATTGATGTTCATATGGATTTGAATCAGAAATTATTAATGGATGATGGTGTATTATTTGAAAATATAGGTCAGTATCACAAATTGGTTGAAAAGCTTAATTATCTCACTATTACTCGACCGGATATTTTCTATATAGTCAGTATAGTAAGTCAGTTTATGGGATGTTTTAAAGTACCACATTGGGAGGCAGTTACTCGTATTCTGTGATATCTCAAATGAGCTCCTGAACTTGGACGATTTTATCGAGCTAATGGACATCTTAGAGTGGAAGGTTTCTTAGATGTTGATTGGGCTAACTCTCCTTTTGATCGAAGATCAACCACTGGTTATTGTATTTTCTTAGGAGGTAATGTTGTCTCATAGAAAAGTAAGAAACAACCCGTGGTAGCAAGATGCAGTGCTGAGACTGAATATAGGGCAATGGTACGTACGACAAGTGAGTTGACTTGGCTACTACACTTCCTCTAGGAAATTGGTTTTCTAGTTCAACTTCCTTTACAGTTGTTCTGTGACAACCAGACAACTATCCATATCGTTGTTAATCTTGTGTTTCAAGAGAGAACTAAGCATATTGAGGTTGTTTGTCACTTTATTCAGGATAATATAGTAGCTGGAGAGATTACAACTTTATTTGTGAAATCTGAAGATCAACTTGCAGATATGTTTTCCAAAGCATTGAATTGTACACGTCTTACAGCTATTTGTTCCAAGCTTGGATTATATGATATACATAATCCAGCTTGAGGGGAGTGTTAAGAATAGTAGGATAGTATGTGTAAATTGTTAATAGTAAGAGGGTGTATGTGTAATTCTTATTATTTTAAGTTAACTATAAATACAAGTGATGTATGAGAGTTAGGTTAAGTTTTAACCTCTCTCTTTCTCTCTAATATTGTGTTATGTTAATTCACTCAACTTAACAAGAGAGATTAGAATAACCCTAGATCCCTAAATCCTCAAAGCCAATTCATTTTGAATATTCCATTCAACTTCACACATTGAAGACGGAGATGTAGTTTGGAGTTCTTCAAAATCTACTTTGAAAAAGTATGCATTCCAAGGATCTTATCAAAAAAGATCGCTTGAAGAGCCTAAACAGTCCATTGCGGTGGATGCTTTCAAGTTAAGTTGCTCATAACTTAAGTGGGTCATACCCCGACGAAAGATTTGGAAAGGAAATCAACATCTAACTATAGTATTGGTTGATGCGTAAGACTCGAATACTTGCAAATTCACTTTGAGTTAATAGATTAGGCTAGGGGAATTGGGTAGCGGTTTGTAGTTTTTCCAGTATTGGGTTTTCACGTCAACAAATTGCTTGTGTTATGATTGCCCTTTACTTGCTATTTTGAATACATACTTGTAATAATGCACATGTGTACTATGTGTTTGATTGAATGATTGTTTATCCTTCCATTCATCAAAAACGCTTTTGAGAACAATTAGCTTTGGGCAAAGGATTGTAGTTGTGGTGAAATTGAGTGTAATCTAATCAATTGACATCTATTTGTATCAATTCACATGACGAGGTGTTCCAGTTGCTTAATTAATTTATTAATTGATAATTGTTGTGTTTAAGCTTTTAAAGTGGTAATTGTTCAGGCTTGAATCTTTTAATAACCTTATTCACCCTTCTCTAGGTTGTGTATAACAATCTTACGTTTATAATCATGAGGAAAGATCCATATCGAATCTCTCTCTCAATTTTGATGAGGATAACATGCGAGTCTTTTAGGCAATTATGAAGGGACTAAGCTACACTATTGGCCATCGAGGAAAATCATGATGTTGGTGTTATCTGGAGTCATGGCATTGGAGCTTTTGACGTGGGGTCTGCTCAAGGACCTACTGGTTTAGGTAAATATTTAATGTGCTCCCCCATCAGAGAGTGTTTAGGAGGTAAAAGTGTTTTTTTGGAGGGGGTGATCAGTGAAGGACGCAGGAGTTGGATGAAGGCCTTTTCGATGTTTATAATGTTGCCTTTGGTTCGGATGGATGTGGTGATACCAAAAGTAGCTTTGAAAATAGTTCGGATGATAGCAATTGAGGATTAGAATTTGATTTGAAAATTGTAGAGTTTGATTGTGATGAAGGTCATTGTGATGATTCTAACGTTGCCTTTTGTTCGGATGGGTGGCACCAAGAACTATGTTGCGGATGATTGGCATGGATGTTATGTGTGGGGGTGGATATAAAAGGTGGAAGACTTTTTTGCTTTGCACTTATTTTGCAATTGTCTAGGTAATTTGGTTAGAAAGGAATGTGAGGATTTTTTATGACAAATGTGAGGAGATCAAATGACTTTGGAGTTGGCTTTTTTCTTGACTTCCTTTTGGACCTCGTTATCAAAAGAGTTTGAGAGTGTTCCCCTTTCTTGTATTATTTCAAATTGGACAATTTCGTGTAGAAGGTAGTTTTTGGTCTTTTTCACATTGCATTTTCTTTTCTTTGACTAGTCTTTGGGCTGGGCAACTTGTCCACCTTTGACTAGTTCCTACAGATGGCCTGTATTTAAACGTAATCCCACCAAATTTAAAAAAATTGATGATAATTATAATTACATTCCTAATAATTAAAAGTCATAAAATATTACCAGAATAATATCTAATGTTCAATGAAGTTTCATCCAACCCCTTTGTGTTTCCCCATCATTAGGATGGTTGTGAATTTGGTGAATTCATTGTTGTGACTTCGTGAAATGATTTGCATTTTTTCTCATAATCTATGTTGAGCTCCTTAGAACTTTTATTTTTGATTATTCGATATGGATCTGTGGTATTGATTTTTATATTATAGGGTTTGCAGTCCACATGGAATCGTTACACTTTGGTGAGAGCCCAGTTGAATGAGGTAAGGTTCTTTCAATGGGTTTCATTAGAGGATATTTTTTCAAAATTTCGTTACTTCATGGACAAGCTTTTGGAGCCATCTATTGCCTTCAAAGTTACTGTTGATGGGTCCTCAAATGGTGCGACTACTCCTTCAGCCAAATCAGAAGTACCCGCATTGGATACCAATGATTCTAAGCCATCAAATGAGCTTGTTGCTGCTGCTATGGGTTCGGAAGAATCAATCTCTGAGTTCATTACTCAAGTTGCAAATCTTGTCAAGTATGCTACCTCAACCTTCTAGTTCCTTGTGTTGTCTTCTTTCATAAATTTCCGAATTAAGTGAATGCAATATCTACCTTGCTGTCTAGTTGATTCTAGGGATATTGTGGAGTTGCAGTTGAAACAGTTTGGCTATGAACTCTTAATCCGTAAAAAAGAGGCCTTGCTTCTACCCTCATCTTCTGCTCCAGTTGTTATGATGCATTCATCTCCACCAGCTGTAGCAACACTAGCTTTCCAAGCTGCTCCACCTGTTGTTCCCTCAGCACCTTCTGTCCCACCACCTTCTACAGCTGCTACTAAGTCAGCTAAGCCATCCCTTCCCCCTCTTAAATGCCCTATGGCAGGCACATTCTACCAAAGTCCAGCACCTGGTGAACCGCCATTTGTGAAGGTCATTGTTATATAGTTTGCAATAATGTGAATATAATTGAATACCTTCATAATAGTTAGTACCATGTTGATGCTGGAACTCAATGTATTTGTATACCTTACATGACCGAATTTTTCTTTAGGTTGGGGACAAGGTACAGAAAGGACAAGTTCTGTGCATTATTGAGGCCATGAAGTTGATGAATGAAATAGAAGTAAGCCATATTTTCCTATTCTATCTAACATCATTGGATGTAGAGATAGGACACAACCCAAGCTTTACTTCTTGCAAAACTATTTCCTATTCAAGTAGAATTGCTATTTAATTATTGCAGTTTGCTCATTTATAATGGTTTGTATCTCTTCCTGGAGGCTATAATCATCTTAGTTAGAAATTTCAATGTGGAAATTGAATTATTGTAGATGCTTACAGTTGCTCTTGTGTACTACTTGATAAAATGTAAATATTTAGATGTGAAGTTACAGCCCAGCGGTGTAGAGTGAGGGGACACAAATTTAGTACGTTGTGTAGGTCAAAGGCATGAATAGTTGCCTAACTTGCATCACAATTAGAAATTAAGGGCTTCCCACCTATAGCTGTTTAATTCTGTGAAAAGAGCGAGTTTAAAGTGTTCTAAGGACTGAATAGAGATGTAGTTTGATTGGTTGTCTAATAAAAGATAATTACGATAGGTTAGTGTGGTTGTAATTCAAAGGGGTATTTCTTTAGCCTCAACTTTAGAAAGAAGTCCCTATGACACGTTTCATGAAGTGGTGCAACTTGGGCATGGTGAGAGGCCAAGCAAAATTCAACCCAACTCATAAAACCCTTTGTTAACAATGATCAAACAAGAAAAAGAGGAAAGAAAGAGAAAGAAAATATTATGGTTGCATTAATTTGTATTACTCAATACCCTAAGATCTAGGAAGCACAGACACTTTACTGGAGGTCGATGTGGCAACGTTGGACAGGTGTCTAACACGGATACGCGTGGGATACAGCCGGACACATGTCCAACACTTCTACAAGTGACCTGAACAGTGAACAAGGATTTTTTGAAGCTGGATACGACTTGGATACGTGGGGTATATGGGAAATAAGGGGCTGAAAAAAAAAAAGAAAAAGGAAAGATTATTGACAGAATAGAGAGTAGAGAGGAAGAGGCAAAGATACATACAAGATTTGCTTCAACGACCCGTTTCTGATCTACTTCGAGCCTTCTTACTTCTTTCCTTCTTCTTGAGATCGTGATTCAAAGCCCTAGCTGCACTCTTCCTAGTCGGTGCCTTTCCTTGGTCGGTGCCCTAGTTGCATTCTTTTATCTTTATCTTTTTCTTTTTCTTCTCNAGCTTTACTTCTTGCAAAACTATTTCCTATTCAAGTAGAATTGCTATTTAATTATTGCAGTTTGCTCATTTATAATGGTTTGTATCTCTTCCTGGAGGCTATAATCATCTTAGTTAGAAATTTCAATGTGGAAATTGAATTATTGTAGATGCTTACAGTTGCTCTTGTGTACTACTTGATAAAATGTAAATATTTAGATGTGAAGTTACAGCCCAGCGGTGTAGAGTGAGGGGACACAAATTTAGTACGTTGTGTAGGTCAAAGGCATGAATAGTTGCCTAACTTGCATCACAATTAGAAATTAAGGGCTTCCCACCTATAGCTGTTTAATTCTGTGAAAAGAGCGAGTTTAAAGTGTTCTAAGGACTGAATAGAGATGTAGTTTGATTGGTTGTCTAATAAAAGATAATTACGATAGGTTAGTGTGGTTGTAATTCAAAGGGGTATTTCTTTAGCCTCAACTTTAGAAAGAAGTCCCTATGACACGTTTCATGAAGTGGTGCAACTTGGGCATGGTGAGAGGCCAAGCAAAATTCAACCCAACTCATAAAACCCTTTGTTAACAATGATCAAACAAGAAAAAGAGGAAAGAAAGAGAAAGAAAATATTATGGTTGCATTAATTTGTATTACTCAATACCCTAAGATCTAGGAAGCACAGACACTTTACTGGAGGTCGATGTGGCAACGTTGGACAGGTGTCTAACACGGATACGCGTGGGATACAGCCGGACACATGTCCAACACTTCTACAAGTGACCTGAACAGTGAACAAGGATTTTTTGAAGCTGGATACGACTTGGATACGTGGGGTATATGGGAAATAAGGGGCTGAAAAAAAAAAAGAAAAAGGAAAGATTATTGACAGAATAGAGAGTAGAGAGGAAGAGGCAAAGATACATACAAGATTTGCTTCAACGACCCGTTTCTGATCTACTTCGAGCCTTCTTACTTCTTTCCTTCTTCTTGAGATCGTGATTCAAAGCCCTAGCTGCACTCTTCCTAGTCGGTGCCTTTCCTTGGTCGGTGCCCTAGTTGCATTCTTTTATCTTTATCTTTTTCTTTTTCTTCTCTCTCTCTCTCTCTCTCTCGATTAAACAGAGAAATGCTGTTCTTTTATTAATATTTTTCTCTTTTTATTTGGTATAGTTTATTTATTAGTTGTCAAATAAATTAACCAACAACATACTTTTGTGTTTGCTTACAACCCAATTTGTTGTTAGCCCACTGCCCAATTCTAACAAATTACCCAGCTGCCCAATTTAATATTAGCCTATTATCCAATTATGATATATTAACCAACTACTCAATGGTTTCTAAGTCTCTTTATTAATGTTATTTATCTAAAAAATATATAATATTATTTTAATTAATCGTATCCTTGTCGTACCCATGTCCTATAATTTTAGAATTTTGCCATATCTTCATGTCCGTATTGTATCGAATATGACACCCGTATCCATATCCATGCTTCATAGTTTAAGATACACAAGACAAGCCCTTATATACTAGGGCAACCTAAAATAAAGAAAAGGACTAAAATATCCCTAAATATGCTAGAATACTACAACAATCTAACACCACCTCGTCAAACTCATGCCCTTGTAGCAGAGAATGTCAAGAAGAACATGAAAAATGTGTTATGATATAAGATTTCATAATGAAAACTGCTAATTATATGGTAGAAGGAAGAACCGAAGAAACGGGAGAGATATGGTGCCTAGCTAAAGATGATAGCGCACGAAGTGCCAGTCAACTCTATATACTTTGTATGCTCATAGAAGACCGAGTTGTGAGCGATTTGAATAACGCTAGTGTAGTTACAAGGGGTTGGAGCAGATAAGGAGATGCCAAGTTCAGTAAGGAGCCATTATAGCCAAACTATCTCAGCTATGTTAGAGACCATAACATGGTACTCAGGAGTTGAGAAACGAGTAACAACATTTTGCTTCTTGTTTTTCCAGGAAATAAGACAATTGCCAAGAAAAAGTCAGGAACCAATCGTGGATTTGCGATTTATAGATGCACCAACCCAACCAGAGTACGCCTTGAGTTTTATAGAAGAAAATGAAAGAAATAATAGACTCTGATATTGAGTATTTTGAAGATATCGAGGAATGCGAATAATAGAAGCCTAGTGAATAGTAGTGAGCAAGGCAACAAACTAACTAACAACATGAATAATGATGATGTACAAATTGGTTTGCACACCACCTGTTAATGAAGTAGTATAAAATGTAGTAAAGTAGAGGGAGAGAAAAGACCAAGTTTATAGTGGTTCGGTTAAGGTGACCTACGTCCACTTGGAATGACAAGAGTCATCAGGATTTTATTAACTCCAATGTAATGGGAGAGCAGAAGGTTACAAGCTTTGAGAGAGGAGGAGAGAATTATCTCGAATGAGTCTGATGCCCTCCAAGTGTTGGTGGGACTTACAATTTATAGTTGCTCTGCGTAATAATTGAATAGTTAGTTTAGCGGTCATAATAGATTGGGGTGACTTTATGGTAATTAAGTAGCAGATTTGGCGGAGACGCTCTTCTTCTCAATGGGCAAGGCAGTTATGGTGCTTTAGATTCGGTCTCCAAGGCGGCGAGGAGGAGGCCCTTGGATGACCCTTGCTCCAAGGTGGCTAGGAGGAGGATGACCTTGCGTGCTCCCTGCCGATGTAGCTCCTTGAGCTTGATGAGCTTGACTAGGTTGACCATATTGGGCTGAACTTGATGGATCTCTTAAGAGTTTGGGTTTTAACTCAGACTGGGCTTATAACTTGAGTTGGGCCTTTGGGCTTGGCCCATCATTTGCCCCCCCAATGCCCTGCGTCTAACGGAACATGGAAAGGAGGGCATTCACTTTGAGTTTAAATTTTCGGCTGACGACATAACTGGAAAAACTTCGGGTGGACAAAACCTATGCTTTTAGGCCTTTTTTTGAGCTTTTAGGGCTCACCGAGTGTTTTGATTTGATATATTATGGGCCTCATTTGGAGTAACGGAGCAAACGTTATGATCAAAATAGCAAGCAAAGAACTGGGCGCGTGGTTTAGGCAAGCAAGCAGCCACAATTTTTTTTTTTTAAAAAAAATTGTGGGAGGCCAAAACATCTGTTTCTAAGCCTTTTTTGGACTTTTTTTTTGAAAATTTCATTGCCAACGGAAATGAGTTTTGCTCAGCTCATTGAGAGCTTCGATTTGATATATAATAAGTCCCGTTTGGAGTTACGGTAAAAAATCTAATTTTTTTTTCAAAAATCCTTTTGGTTGGCCATTTCCTCCCTTTCAGTAGGTTCCTCTTGTCTTTGCATTCTTGAAAAGCCTAGGTTGTAATTTGGGGCTTTTTGGTTTTTTTGCTTCTCCAATAAGATTTTAAAACCCTAGCTATAAACAGAAAACCCCCTTTTCATTCTTACCATTTTATTCATTTTTTAGAGAAGAGGAGGTGGAGCTCTTCTTGAAATCTTCCAAGAACACATTGGTGAGACTTTCTTGAGATATTTGGAGACCCAAGGTTTGATATTCTTGAGTTTGCGCATTGAGTCAACAATGTTGACTATAGAGGAAGAGATACAAGTTTCCATTATCATTGAGGAAGAAGGGATGCAAGTACCCATTGATATCGAAGAAGGAGAAGCCATCATTGATCGACGAGGGAGCTTGGGAGAGAGAGACATCCGCGCTGGAGAGGGGGTGCCTTCATTATTACTATTCATGCATTGAGGGGACTGGATGATGCAGCTGTCTATGCTCTGGGCGCCCAGGGGGCTGACTTGGAGCAATTTAGGTGCTGATTTCGGGCAGATTAGGCACAATTCAATCGCTTTCTGGGCTACTGGGAGCGTTGTCCACGCGGTGGAGTAGAGAGGAAGGTTGGGCGACCAGCCTAGTGAGTTGGGTGAGCACGGAGACTTAAGGAATGCCCTGGGTGCCCCTTTGGGCGCTGGTGTGGATGGGGTTTGGTGAGCAACCTGCTCGCAGGACAGTAGGGCTGGTGGCAAATCTGGAAAATAGCCCAAGAGGTGTTGCTATAGGCGTGACATCAGACACTTTTTGGGTGCCCCTTTGGGCGTNGTGGACAAAACCTATGCTTTTAGGCCTTTTTTTGAGCTTTTAGGGCTCACCGAGTGTTTTGATTTGATATATTATGGGCCTCATTTGGAGT